CCTGCCTGCCGGAGGAGCTCACCGATGGGACCTTGCCCAGATCTTTCAAGGATTTTTGAGCTCCTCACACAATCCAGTCTGGTTAAACCCAGGATGGATCGTAGGCAGGCCAGCCTAAATGTTTCTAACTGGCGAAGATGTTCCATTAGGGGGGTCCCCGTTTTGCAAGCGTAGAGAAGGGAGGGAATGACCGTGGCCGAGAAGACCTGAAGCTTAGTGCGGAGCGACAGACCAGGTAGCTTCCACACAGCGTTACGCAACCGATGAAAAGATATTGCCGCTCGACTGATTCGGAGTGAGACCTCTGCTGTTAAACTGGAGCCAGTCATAAGCACACTGCCCAGGTATGGGAAACTCTCCACTCTCTCCACAACTGCCCCATCACCGACTGGGAGTTGTGGGGGTGGAGTGTCCGATGGTACAAAATACCCAGGCAGGTGCTTAGTTTTGGTTGGGCTGATGGTAAGGCCCCACCTCTTAGTGGCACGCTCCAGTCTCAGCAGCAGCGTCTCCAACTCCTCCTCCGAATGTGCAGCTATTACCAAATCATCAGCATACATAACGTGGGTGAGCAATAGGGAGCCATCCCTTGACCGCACCCGGGTGTCGATCAGCCTCCCATTATATCTGTACCATATGGAGATTCCCCCGGTACAGCTATTGAAGGCTTCACGAACTACGTGGTCAAAATAGATGTTAAGTAATGTGGGAGCCAGAGGACATCCCTGTCGCACCCCAAGGTTAACAGGGAATGGCTCTGACTCCCGGCCACGTAGTTTTACCCGGGCCCACTCACCATCATGAAGGTCCTTAATGATCGTGAGCAGAGGGTCAGGTACTCCAAAAGCACGAAGAACAACCCAGAGCCCATGCCTACTGATGGTATCATAGGCCTTGACTAGGTCAATAAAGCAGAGATGTAGGTCTTGTTGGAATTCCCTACACCTCTGTTGTAGCAGACGGACAGAAAATATGGCATCTGTGCAGGACCGCCCTTTCCTGAAACCGCACTGGGGCTCCGCAAGCCTCTCCTCAGCGTGCCTGGCAAGGCGATGTTGAAAAATCCTTGTCAGGACCTTTCCCGGTACACTGAGGAGTGAGATGCCCCTGTAGTTGTTACAGTCTGTGCGGTCCCCCTTCTTAAAGAGGGGGACCACCAGGGCATCCTTCCAATCTTGCGGAACCCATCCAGCAGCCCAGACCATTGTTATGATGTCATATAGGGCAGTCTGTGCACAAACGCCACCCTCCCTCAGCATTTCGCTTGGGAGATCATCTCTGCCCGCTGCCTTTCCTGGTCTCAGACTCCGGATCGCCTTCAGTACTTCCTCAACAGATGGCACCTCAGCCAGCCACTCACAGGGGGTGACTTCTTCCAATATTTGAGGCACCGCAGCCTCAGCAGGGTCATCCTCACTTTGTCCCACGATGTTTTCCTGGCTGAGGGATTTTCCCTCCTCCAGGACCTCACAGAAATGCTCAGCAAATCTGCAAACCTGTTCCTGGGGGTCGGAGATTGGATCACCGTTTTTTCCCCTAATGATGGTAATAGGTGTGGTGCTGCAGGTTACTTTTTTGATGGAGTTAAATAGAGATTTGTGATCACGGGCCACTGAGGCAGACTCCATCTCCTCAGCAACCCGCGACCACCACCCATCCTTGCAGCGCCTCACGGCTCTCCGAACCTCTGAGCGAAGGCTGCGGTAAGCCTCCTCATTCTCTGACGTGGGATTCTCTAGCCGATGACAGTGGGCCTGTCGCTTTTTCTCAACCATCCTGAACACCTCCTCTGTCAGCCAGGGTCTCTGGGGAGGTCTGGACCGCGTACCCAAAGCAGCCATTGCAGCTGCATGAGTCACAGTCCTAAACCTCGCCCATTTACCCTCGACATCAGGAGGAGTCGGGGACGATGCCTATCCCAGCCGCAAGCAATGATGAAATTCTCGCTTGCAACTTTCATCAGATAACTGAGACCAGGCCACTTTAGGTCGGAATGGGGTCCTGGGTGTACACCCACCACCGGAGTGGAAGAATGGCAGGCGCATCTTACAGATGACTAGTCGATGGTCAGAGGGCAGATCAGCTCCACGGTAGGTCCTGGTGTCAAGGACATAGGCTCGCATCCGCTGGTCCGTCACTATGTAGTCCAGCAGATGTTCTTGCTTGGACCCGGCATGCATCCATGATGTTGTGTGGATGCGCCGATGCCGGAACAGCGTGTTGGTAATTACAAGCCCATGGGCTGCACAAAAATCTAGCAGCCTCCTACCGTTGTTATTGAGCTGATCTGGCCCATGCCCTCCAATCACTCCAGACCAGGTGCCAGTATCATGACCAACTCGGGGATTAAAGTCACCCAACATGATGACTCTATCCCGAGGGGCCACTTTAGCCAGCACCTGTGACACACACACAGAGTGACACACACACAGTGACACACACAGAGTGACACACACACACAGAGTGACACACACACACAGAGTGACACACACACACAGAGTGACACACACACACAGAGTGACACACACACAGAGTGACACACACAGTGACACAGAGTGACACACACAGAGTGACACACACACAGAGTGACACAAAGATAAAGACAAAAATCCCCCGTATAGCCTTAACAGACTGTAGGGGCAAGTGCTGTTAGCGAGCACCTATGAAGGCCGGAACGGTACACGAGGGTGTGGGTGGCCAGCACCACGCACGACCGCCTTTGTCTCCCCAGTGGCAATGTTTTTATCCACTGCACTAGGTACTCATTCGAGGCTGAGTCGACCTAGGGGAGGCCCGGGACCGGTTCAGATAATCGTCACTGGTGTTGGCCGTGAGCGGGAATCGAACCCGGGTCGCCAGGTTCATAGCGCAGCGCGCTAACCGCTACACTATCGCTCCACACAGAGTGACACACACACAGAGTGACACACACACAGTGTGACACACAGTGACACACACACAGTGACACACACAGAGTGACACACACACACAGTGACACACACACAGAGTGACACACACACAGTGACACACACACACAGTGTGACACACAGTGACACACACACAGAGTGACACACACACACAGAGTGACACACACACAGTGACACACACACAGTGTGACACACAGTGACACACACACAGTGACACACACACAGTGACACACACAGAGTGACACACACAAAGTGACACGCTCGACAGTGCTCACTGTGGTTCGCGTGCTCCGAGCTACAGTGGGGGGGCGGGCAATGGGAGTGACGTCACCGCCGCCGCGTCACGTGTCGGAGGAGCCGGTTGGCGCCGCTGGCATCCGTGAGGAGCACGGCGCAGCGCGCGGGCTCCCCCGTCTCCTCCGCCCGTCAGCGAGCGCGTCTCGCGGGCCCCTCACCTCTTCCTCACCTCTTCCTCACCTTTTCCTCACCTCTCGTACCCTCTTCACCCGCTGGGACGACGACAAACGCGCGCCCGGGACCTTTCGTGTCCACCCCTCCGCCCCCTTAACCGGGCCAAGGCACGTCACGTGGGGGACGGCGTGACGTCATCCAGCGTTGCGCCTCTGGCGTCTTAGGGCGTGACGTATTCGCAAGTTTCGGGCCCCATTCACCGACGAGCGTGACGTCATCGTACACGGTTTCTACAAGTGCCGACTATTGCTTAGGGGGTCCATAAATGACGTCACGCGATTTTGGACGATTTTTTTACCCCCCCCCCTCGCCACGCGGCGTCACAAAAAGTCAGACCCCCCTCAAATATGACGTCACAAAGCTCTGCCCCCCCCCAACCATATTTTCATTTTGAAAATAAAACATTCTTGAAATCCCTTTAAACTATTGTCATTGTGCGTATTTAATGTGGCGCTGCACTCTGATGTTGTAGGAGAAAACACGTATGAAAAAGGAGGCGTTGGAAAGATTAAATTTAGCATAAAATTCACTTGAAAATATTCAACGTCTAACTAAAACTGCAGATGTTCAGAATGTTATATTGAAATTATCTTATAATTATAAAATATTAAAATTATAACTATAAAAAATACTTTCAACTTTGTAGTAGTACGAAGCAAAATGGAGAGTACAATTATAACAATCATATTCATTCCACAGAATGAAAAGCCCTGGTAGAATCAAAATGTTTAATAACCATCATTAAAAAATGTTCAAAATGCTTCTCCATTCTCCCATGGAGAAGCAAAATGCTCCTTCATGGAATAAATAAAAGGTGACCTTAGTAAATTTAAATAATCATAGTTAATAATGAAAATTAATCAAAACTTGTGTTATGACAATTCTATATTTTGATTTAAAGCTTTCGTGACTGCAGTAATTCATATTCTTATCTCTTTCGGTAAAGTCACGTTGAAGGGAAACAATAATCAGAATCAGAAAGGGTTTTATTCGCCATGTAAGTTCACACCGACACGGAATTTACTTTGGCAGGATGGTGCATACATTCAACATATAGGAATCTAAAATCTTAAATAAGTTTTAAACAAGTCTTACTATAATAAGGGTTAAAAGTCTAACACCAAGGGGCTGAAGTATATAAAATTAAATAAATATCGAATATAAAATAGCTTTAAGATATAATATAATTTATATAATATAATTTATAAAATATATATAAAACAATAAACGTGACTTTACCGAAAGAGCTAAGAATATAATTCTATATTTATTTAAAGTTGCGCATTTTGATGTGACGTCACAATTCTCACCCCCCCCCCCCTCTCGTCACCCATTGTCACAAATGTCTGACCCCTAGGTGCGCGACGTCATTTATGGACGGCCCCTTATAGGTACCACGTAGGGTGGCAAATACTCCGTTTTTTCCTGAAGCAGGTTATCTCTCGATCAAAAATATGTCTGATAGCAAGGTCAAAGTAACAGCTTTGTATGAAAACAATTGTTATTTATGAGAGTGACGTCACCGTATGTGGTTTCCACAAATGAATCGATTGGCGGTAGCCCGGGTCACCGCGAAATATTGGTGGGCCGGGCATAGTTTAAGGGTTTTTTTTTTTCTGGCAGCATCGCTGGTACTACCACCCTGTCCTGCCGGAGGGCGACGCTGGGAGCTATGATGATGAGGACGACGATGTCGATCACGCCAGCACGACCGTGACCGCCGGCCGTACCGAGAGAGCGTCTGGTGCCCCATTGCCCCCAAGTGGACTCGCTCCCAAAGACAAGGGGGGGTGGCCGCTCCCGTAAGAAGCAGAACGTGCTGGGGAATGACCAGACCAGCATCCCGATGCACTTTCACAACAAGCAATAAACAGCCGTTGCCACGCACAAACACCCAGCAGCCCCCCGTTTTTATGGGTGTTTTGCGTTTGTTTTTTTATTTCCATATTTGGCGTGCGTATCGGGCTTATGGGTACCACGCCGGGTGACAAATGCTAATAATTATTTTCCTGAAGCAGGTTATCTCTCGATCACAAATCTATAGGATAGCAAGGTCAAAGTAGTAGCTCTGCATGAAAACAATTGTTAATGATTTCTAGAGATTATGAGTTTTTGAAGATACAATTCATCCTGAATATGCAAATATATACTAAGTGTGCGTGTGTGTATAGAAGTGTATACTGTATATAACGCCTTAAACCCAGGGGTAGATACTGTCTATGGTGGATACTGGTAGCAAGACGACGATGGACGGAATTCTGTCTCGTTTGCTGCTTCGTTCCATTCGCCCGAATCTTGCTTTTCATCACAAAGTGAAATTTTATTTCCAAAAGAACCCCTCCATGACTTTATCTGCCTATGTATTACCAAAATATGCCTTGTCAACAGTGTACGTCGTATCTGATATTACATAGTACAGAAAAATCATGTCCATCATGGAGATGGAGCCATGAGATTTGCTCATGTGGAACGGTGAGATCGACTGCGGTATCATCAATGTTTTCCTTCCAAATGAATGAATAATAAACATGAATGGGTTCTCATCTCGATAAAGACACGAGGATGCACAGCAGCAAGCTGATCATCATTATTGCCAATGCTCAAATTCGCCTTTGGATTTGACCTTTAAAGTGAGACATATTGGGCTCACACACTCATGTGTACAATCGACCCGAATGTACTGGATGAAGGGATTTGGCCTTCCTTTGAAGTGGTGGGATGTCACCCCAAAGCGTTCAGTCTTTTTTCTTTTTTCCCCCTGGCATTTCACACGAGCAAATATTACCCGTTGGTTATATTTTGTGGACACCTACATGCGAATGTCACGCAACATGGACGCATTTGCGGTCACGATCTTCTTGCCCGTGGGCTTCGGGAACATAATTTTGACAGCGGCAAGAGAGCTTGACGTCGGCAGCGGTGGAAATGAAGGTGGCGAGAGTCAAGGGGGCCGCATTTAGGAGGATTTTGCCGATGGAGAGGGCAACCGTAAACGTGCCACTGTGCGTGGGAGAGACGGACTCCGACTCGGACAGCCGTTCGTCGTCACCGCTGAACGTGCGGATGGTGCCCATGTGGCGTTGGGACTCGGTGCGAGCAGCCGCTGGAGTCGCGTGCAGGTGAGTGGGCGATCAGAGCAGAAGTAATTTTTGTTACGTACCGTAAAACGTAAGTGCAGAAAAAGCCAACGGCCATGGAGTGTACAGCCACATCAACGGATGCGTTTGACTGATAGGTTGCATGGGTACGTTTTCAATGAGGTGAGAGTTGTGGGTAATGTTTTTCTAAAAAAAATGTTGAAAAGCACTGAAGCATCTAAAGAGATGCAAGGGGTCAGCTGAATCCACAACCTACCTAAGCACCTTGCTACCACACGTATACAATCACCAAGTTGTTAAAGCGCATGTGATATTTGACTTGAATATTGATGTGGATTAGTCTGTAGAATGTCCATGTGCTATATCGGTATTAATCGTTATGAATGCATACAATATCTCATTTTCGTAACGCAAATGTTAGAGAATTAACACAGGTTAAGGACATAATTTTGACCATTTTCATAATTATTCTAATCTCGTGCAAGCGGTCTGCAGTTAACATACTTGGCACTCGTCACAAGTCACTTTAACACGTCGTAACCTGCGCTTGTTCTCTCATCCACATGCCTCGCTGTGTCTCGGTGGAGATTCCTAGCACCAGGATTTTTTGTGCACTCTCTGTGAACTTCTCAACCGAGTTCCATTTTCTTCATTCATGTCCATTTGTGTTGCCATCCACACACAACTTCCGATTAAAACGTTTACCCTTTAGGCACATTGAAATGTTTCCTTTTATCATCAAGTTCAACTTTCTCGAAAGTTCTCCTATGGACCTCTTTTATTTGATCGCTTTGTTTCTTTGTTAATCTTGGGGAACAATTTTCTTTGAAAGAAGCATTTACAGATCCCCGTCCCCTAAACAGGTGTTGATATACATGCCATAGAAGGGAAATTGTAAAACATGTTTATATTATTTGCGAAATATCAATACTACATTTTGGGGAGGGGGACAATCAACTCCATCGGCCCAGACCAGATATTCCACTTGTCTGCACACCCTGAGGAGGTGAAATATCTTCATTCGTTCAATTTTATTTGTGGCCAACATCAGCGAATTGTGATAACAATTTGAAATTAGCGAGTTATCAAATAATTAACTCTTACTGCCCATATATACACATTGGTCCGGCTGAAGTTATTCCACATTTGGTGGTACCAATTTCTGCTCTGGCCTAAAGCAACTACTGTGTTTTTGTGCTCCTTCAGAATCTGCCACTGTGAGGGAGATGAGGAAGGCCCTCTCACCGCACCGTGCCAGTGCACGGGCTCGCTGCAGTTTGTCCACCAGGCGTGCCTGCAACAGTGGATCAAGAGCTCGGGCGCGAGCTGTTGCGAGCTATGCAACTACAGCTTCGTCATGGAGACCACGCTGAAACCCCTGCGCAAAGTAACCAGCCCCGGGCATTACAACCCCAATGCACAAGATGGCACAGCGCTCAAGCGAGAGAATTAAGTCCGTGAAATATGGAGGCCTTAAATTATAAGTAGGTAGGTCACCCCCAAATAAGGTTACCCTGGGCAAGTGCGTGCCCATTTAAGGCGGTATGGAACAGGAATCCAAATAAATAATAATTGTTATGATTCCATGCTCGACCCCATGCTAGATCACATGCTCGAGCCCATGCTCAAACCCACAACACCTGGAACCCATGCTCGACCCTCCGCTTGAGTGTATCGATCATGACCTACGCTGGCGATAATAATTGTTACCATAACTCGTAAATCTGTTACGAATGCCGATTTGACGTGCTGGACGTGGTGTTTCTTTCTTTAACAGTGGGAGAAGCTGCAGATGACAGCACGGGACATGAGAAAGCTCACGTTTTCGGTCGTGGTCCACGTCGTAGCCATCGTGTGCGTGGTGTGGTCGCTCTACATTCTCGTCTCCCGAACGGCAGAGGAGATTCGCCAGGCGCAGCACAGTGGTGCGTGCAGCACCATCTACAAACATCTTTCCACCCCAACACCTGGTGTCACCAAATAGTCCTCAGGAAGCCCACGCATTCTAATATCAATACGGGGGGGGGGGGGCTCAGTTGAACTGGCCAGTTGGCTCAGTGGTCAAAATACGGGGCTCAGTTGAACTGGCCAGTTGGCTCAGAGGTCAAAAAGCGCTGAGCTGGCACGGCCGAGATCCTGATTTCGAATCCATTTTGCCCGTGATTAAACCCTGTTCTCAAATGTAATGAGTTGTATGTGTATATATGTTGAACTTATTTCGCCACCGTGCATAGCCAAGCGTGCTAATCGGAGCTGCGAGTTTAATGGTGTCAGCCTGATCACACAAATGACTATACTATAAAAAACCCTATGACATTAAATTTGGGTCTGCACTGAATTTGGCAAAAATTCCATCTGCGAGAAATAAAAATATCAGTTTGTGACACAATGATCATTTTGATCTGTGGCTGAGCAGGTGGGCAAATGAAACCCCATAACGTGGACCAGATCTCACTTGATCGGATTTCAGAGGCAGTTCTGTGATATCTCCTTCCACAGACCAATCATTAACATGGGGGTGGAATGCCCTGCGAGTTTCAAACACTGAACGTACAATTGGTATAAATATTCTGGAAACGATATAAAAAAACGCTGTAATCAGTTATTAAAATGGCCACGGTGCACTTTTAAAACTGTCACTGTTGAAATATTACCAAAGTACACACGCGATTGAAAACAAATTTCTTGAGAACTGCTTTTTTCGTTTAGTTTGTTCTTCCCCCGCAACTCCCATTAGCACAGTTGGCTACGTAATGTGCGAAAGTTCAACATACATTTACTATTGAGATGATTGGTAATATTCTTCCGAATCCCAATGTAACAGGAAAAAAATATATTTTTATATCCCTTCTCCAACAGCCCATTGACAACTTACAGAAACATGGTATATATTGTACTGGTTCCTATTACAGGTGGAACCAGTGAACCAAATGACCAAAATCACCTGACGTGCACTTCACCTCGTCACCTCGTTCTGCAGCTCACAATATAACATCGCTTATTAACTACCTCCGTGGTCAAACGCGTTGTTTTTTTAACGCATTACACAATGCGTGCAACTTTTGTTGCGGGTTTCTTTTGTTGTTGTTTGCAGGTGTGCTGGAGTGGCCATTCTGGACCAAGCTGGCCGTGGTTGCCATCGGGTTCACGGGCGGAACGGTCTTCATGTACGTGCAGTGCAAGGTCTACGTACGCATGTGGCGACGCCTCAAGGCTTACAATCGCATCATCCACGTGCGCAGCTGCCCCGAGGCTCTGGCCGAAGAGCTGCTGTCAAGGAGAAATCTGTCCACGTCGTCACCCGCCCGGGGCCTCCAACAGAACCCACCCAACGGCAAAGAAACGGAGGCCGATGCCCTCGCCGTAGAAACCCACGTGACCCGCTGCGTTGACAAAGGGAAATGCAATGCGGAGAATACATCCGAATGAAAGTCACAGCGCTGTCCCCGTCAGTTTTCCCAAACGGTTCGCGATTGCTTTTAGAAAGCGCTACCAGTACCACACACCCAGAATTTTATGCGCGTGGTCAGACGGACCGAATTTACCTGGAATTCTGGAAGTTCCATAAAATGGCGGTTCCATCACTGGCCGAATGCCAGCACTGCTAAACGCTTGCTTGCTAGTGGGGGCATTTTACCTTTGATAGTTAATGTTTTGTTTTAGATAATGTGAAGAGGTCCACATTAGGGGTTTTGTGTGCGATGTCAAGGATTCAGACAAACCAATGCGATAGGCGGGCGGTGGTGGCGCACGCTTGTACCTCGGCGCCGCGGAAGGCGAGGGTTTCGTGTATCACACAAACGTTGTGAAACTTTCCTACCCATGGGTGTTGAGGAGCCGTACCCTTGCTTGCCAGAAGGAGGTGCAGCAAAAATGTGAACTCCATCTGTTCCATCTGTACGGACCGATGTTTCCACTTCCCACGGTTGAGTTTTCTCCAGGTACTACGGTTTCATTAATTGGGAGTAGAGTTTGGACAATTGCTGGTGTCCGGCTCAATGCGTGGCAGCCGAGCTGCTCGTCTTCGGCTCCTCGTGCCTCCCAGTTTGTCCTCGCTCTTTCACAGCGAGCGACAAATTAATTTGAATTACACGTTCACGCGCAGTTTGTGTCAAAAGTTTGTTTGAGCAAGATGGTTGTGAGAACCTGCATTTTGATACGGGGGTCCTCCAATATACGTCGGCATTATGGACTGGAAATTTGCTACTTATAACGAAACGATGTACAACGGGGAATTTCCCCCCATAACGGGAAATGGGGGGCGGGGGGATAGCGACTGTAAGAGCATCAACATTGCCTATGCGACGCAAAGCGGGCCAATGTCTCCCATAAGAAACAATAGAATAAGGTTGGGATAGGGACCATAACTTAGGGTTTATTGTTACATACCTAGCAACCAAAATATGTACTATCTTGTACAACACACAATGCACAGATATTTATAACCAATTCTGAGTTCAAGAACCTTGAAACAGAACGTATACTCATCTCATTGAAACGTTTTTTGAGCATTTCAATAGCCCTGTACACTTTAAAACGTTTCCTTTTTTTAATTAAGAGAACACTTATTTGTGCAAAAAGTATATATTGGGGACTCCCGCCCCCCCCCCCCCTATACCACAAACCTGAACTGATCATGGTGAGAGGGCATCTGCTACGTAGTTATCTGAGAGAACTGTACTGGTTAGTTGGTAGATGATTGCTCAAGTCATTCAGAATGCTCCTCGGTCTCGTAAGATCTGAAAATCCAAGCAGCTTTGAGCCTGGATAGCGCTTTGGAAATGCGATCGACGTGCACGGTTTGCCATTGGCTGCGAGGGCAACATGGTTGTGGGCAGCAAAGAGCAGCAACTAATTTAAGTCGTCAAATGATTAGACATACCACGCGTTAACATAAACCCCCATTATTTAATACCGTTCATGGTGGGAATATATTTTATTTTGAAACGCTATGATACAGTCGCTTATTTCAGAGCATTAACGCAGACTCACACACAAAGACCGCGCATGGGAAGATGGCGTGATTTATGTTTGTGACGTGGCGTCATGGAGAAGCGTTGCCCTCCATTTCATCCGTGTCATCCTTTTCGGGATTTTCAGCTGCCTGTTCTTTTTTCTCTGTTGCCGTGGCATCTTTGGACGAGACCTTTCTCATCTTGAGGTTTGGCAGACCCTTGAGGTCCCCATCCCACTCCCTGCAGGGTTGGTACACAACACAATTGTCAAATATTCTGCACTTACAGCGTACTTGCTCGATGTTAAGTGATAGCAGTGATGTGTATGTTTTAGATATTATAGCCTAACCCTTATTGTGTGTATTCTTGTTGGCGATTAACCACATTAACCACCAATCTACAACAACAAAAGTAATGCAATATCCTCACTCAAATGAGCAGTGAGGTAGTGCTCATATCCTGTTCAGTCCTGACAGTGGTGGTAATTATACATTCCTATGACAGGGGGTGAGTCTATCCATAAAACCGTTAACTTTTTCCCATAAAGTGGTACTCATTGCATCGACCCCTAATTGGATGATGGGCCGAGTCAACCCTTCCAAATCAGGAGTTTCACTCACGACCTTCCGATTGCGAGCCACTCTCTCTACAGCCGTGGCCGCTTTCCACAAATACAACCTTTAGCTTATAAAAAAAAATTAGACACATTCAACAATAACACTGCCTGAAACGGAAAGGTAGTGGTTGATGTTCTGGCAAATGGCTCTTCTTTGTAGCCAGGGGCAGAGCCAGGATTTTGACTTGGGGGGGCTGACTTCAATATTCTGAGATATCCAGTGTATGTTTTCCAATGGGCGCCACAGATGTATAAAACACATTTTATTGGATTTGAATGCGGAGTTTATTAATAGGTCGGAGCCGCTGATGTGGCTAATAAGTTTGATAAGTTCGAAAGGCTGCCGCTCAAGCAGCCTGCAGGACAGCACAAGGTGGCAGCCTGCAGGGCAGCACACAAGGTGGCAGCCTGCAGGGCAGCACACAAGGTGGCAGCCTGCAGGGCAGCACAAGGTGGCAGCACGAGGTGTCAGCCTGCAGGGCAGCACAAGGTGGCAGCCTGCAGGGCAGCACAAGGTGGCAGCCTACAGGGCAGCACAAGGTGGCAGCCTGCAGGGCAGCACAAGGTGGCAGCACGAGGTGTCAGCCTGCAGGGCAGCACACAAGGTGGCAGCCTGCAGGGCAGCACAAGGTGGCAGCACGAGGTGGCAGCCTGCAGGGCAGCACAAGGTGGCAACCAGCAGGGCAGCACAAGGTGGCAGCCTGCAGCATTTTGCAGCAGCCGGATATCCGGTTATCCCGATCACCGACTTTCCCAAAATGTCAGGGGGGGCTAAGCCCCCCCCAGCCCCCCCCCTGTGGCTCCGCCCCTGTTCGTTGCACATGAGCTATTAAGACAGACCATTTCCTGAAACATCATCGATTACATTTCTTTTTTAGGCAATGCTGATAGTGCTTTTTTTGTTAAATTGTATTTTTTGCACCACTGCCGGCACAGCAGCAATCACCAATTGTTTGTATTAACGACCAATAAAGACTAAAGAATGTTCGACTCAAACCAGACGTCACGAATAGCCATGAGTGTGTTGACGCCAGGGGGTATATGACCACGATTCCCCGGCACTAACGTTGAACTTCGTGTTGAGCTACTGGCCAGCATATTACGATGGTGCACTTGAACGCGGCATACCTGAACACTCTCAGATTCTTTCCATTGATCACATCAGGAACTTCTGTAAGGAGAGATTCCAAAAATAAATTATCATTGCGATCACTGTGAATTGCAAAGTTTTAAAGTTACACACTTGAATGTCTTTCAGATAAGTTTTCAGTGACTATTGGTGGCTGCATCTTTTTAAAGAATTATAATTCTCCCAGTTTGCGTTATACAATTGTATTTCTCATGTACGGCGATTGTGTGGGAAAGTGTTACAAACCGATATTGTGCTCCCAATTTCCTCAATTGTCAACTTCAAAGAGTAAACAAAGTTTATTCTGACCGTCAGTCAGTCTAGTCACCCACATTGATTCTGCCTAAGTTAACAATATTCAGTTTGGAACCAATCAGTGTCAAGCCAAAGTGATCGTTCACCAGTCCTCGCTATTATCAATGTCTCCGAGGTGCCCTGAAGTTCTGACTTCGGTGCAAGGCAGTTTTCCCGTCTCGACGGCTGCTCAAGGTGCCGAGCTAGGTGCACGGGGGGGACGTGCCGAGGCCAGTGCCGTCGTAAAGTTCGCGCTCGCGCTGCAGCGTCTGGCGGATGGCGGTCTCCCGCGGGCCGTGCTGTCGGCCCTGCCGCCCCGTCACGCTGTTCACCAGATCGATCTGCTCCAGTTCCGCGGCAAAACGGTCGAGGTATCTGCAAAAAACATCGTTCATAATACAGGTTTTTTTTTTGGTTAGATCGCGTAAATATATAAATGTGTAGTTAAACTCGCCAACACCCGACACAGCCAATAAGCAAGGTTTTGTCACGTAAACGGAACATGCTAATCCGTTACTAGTACAGCACACTGGTGTGGTGGAGCAGCACCAGCCGGTATCTGCGAAATGCGCGGCTACATTTTTAACAAATCTAATGAAAACCACAATAACTTTACGTGTGCAGTAGAGCTACTGTAAATAACGTCTCTATTCACCAGGATCTCAATAACTTCCCTCACCTTGACTTTAAATGGCACAAGCCCTTGTGGACCTAGGCGCTTAACCCTCAACAATGCAACTCCAACTCTGATAATGCATTGAAAAGCCAAATAAGAGTTCACGTGTAGTCACAAACACCTCGTGACAGACCCGACGCAGAAGATGCCTGGCTTCAATCGTCTGTGAAGCTTATGAGCCACAGCCAAAGACCGTATTCTCACAAATCAAAGGCAGATGCTGATACTCGATGCACAAATGGAAAATAAAGACTCTCCAGTGTGCGACCGTGGTCATCCATAACGGACCACGGAACATAACGCCTCAATGCCCGATTCACAAATACAAAGGAGGCAACACAGCCACACACTCTGCTACTCATGACGCAATTATTTGCAAAATTATAGCTGCTGCTCTCCATCAACTTTAGCTATATGAACAGGACTCTATACATAAGGAGATGCGCATCATTCGTAAGCAGCAGGCCAAATAGGCGACTTCGAATTCAGGACCATGATTAATTATATGTAACACATCAATATTGTGGGCGCATTATGCTTGCATATCTCTTATCGTATGAACAAGCCAACAGGATTTTGCAGCCTGGTCAATGTTACCACTATATGGATGCACTACAATATTTTTTTTTACATCAACATGAAGTTGGATTCTTTCGCCTTATTACAGGGAATGGTTATACTGGTAGGAACGAAGTTGTAAACTGAGTGTACCAGCCTGCAATAGATTAATATGTCCGTCCGTCCGTCCCCTTTCAATACTTTAACGAAGTGAAATCTCGTGCTGTTGGGTGTAAAATCAGCAATAGACAGAGCAGAGACTTGTCCTACCAGCCCACCCTGCAGGGATCTGTTTCATGTTGCTTGAAGCGCATTGGCTGCTTGTCTATGAACGGATCGACAATGTCCAGCGCAGGTGGAGTGCCACTGACCTTTCAATGACAGCACACATTTCCTTTTTTGTGTACTGTGTCTTGTCGCCATCGAGGTTCTTTTTAAACCAGTCTAACTTCTGTCCTGGGGATAAGGAAAAAAAATCCAAGCAAAGAATTAGCAATCGCAAAAAGAGCTCTATATACGTAAAGGTAATCGCCCAGAATGTGTCCGATCTCGTCAGATCTTGGGATTATAGCGGGAGCGAGCCTGTATAGTACGGGGGGTGGGTGACCACCGTGTATAACAGGTTGTTATAGGCTGTGGGACTACACTGTCGGTGACAGAGGACTGTGCGACAAAAACCCAAGTTGTACTACAGCTCTATTCTACCACTTCGATACTCTGGCTTCACTCTCTCTCTCTAGCGTATGGCAAGTGTGTGCAAACCACACGTCCAAGTTTAAGTCGGTGAGCCATGCGATAGCTTCAGGGGTAGCACGACTAATACTGCTCAGTCCGCCGGAGAGCGGCGTAGGATGCAGTTGTTCGCAATGTGGTCCATTGTCTGGTTCAGGTGGCCGCAGTCACGCTGTGGGTTGTCTTTAATTCTCCATTTGTGGAGGTGCGCGCAGCAATCTGTTGCTGTTCTGAAACGGTCGATGGAGCACCGTAGTTTTCTTTGCAGATCAATGCCATGCATAGTAATCGTGGGGTCGTCGATGGGGCTTTTATTTGAAATGTCCACAGAACTCCAGAGTGTTCGCCAGCGGTCTTCAATCGACCCCGCTTCATCCAATTTGTTTCGCACGATCCCAGATTGGTTTCCGGGATTTCAAACGAGTTCATGGAGGGTTAAACGAGTTCGTGGAGGGTCTGGCTTCACTAATCTGCACCGACAAGCGTGAGGCATGGTAAAACAATCCACAAGACCCCCGCACATTGCGTGGGGGAAACCCGAGCCCAGCAGTGGGCTGACAAATGTGTGGAGTGGGAGCCGGTCGTTGACTTTTAGAAGCGACCTGGATTTTACTCCTACCCAGAAAGAATCCACCTCATTCGATATCTAAACCTAGTCTGGGCCACTGCTCCATTGAATATAGCTTTTATCCCACCGAGGAATAATTGACTGAGCAGGCATAGATGAATCAGAAAACATTATCAGGGTGAATCATGCCATTTTACTGGTGAATATATATTCAGGTTTTCTCCAGCTGTGTGCAAATGGACTGATGGTAGTCACACCATGAAAGTGTCCTTTGACAGCAGACCCAAACTGATGGCTTGATGGGTGTGTACAAACAGCAATGTATTGGCAAACACACCGTTTTTTCCCCAGAACACAAGAAGCCATGCATGTTCAGACAAGCACCGCTCTTGTGTTCCAAATACTTTTCACGAATTGCTCCATGTGATTCTGAAGCCAAGACGACTTTCTTACTCACCAATGAGGTTCAGCTTTACTGCCTTGTCAGTTTTTAATCTGAAACAAAAAGCAACACTCTTACCATACAAGTCAGTATAAATAAAAACAGTTTACAACACTGCCTATTCACGGCTCGATGAAGGCCTTCCCCACGACGTGCTGCTTGTGTGGGGTTGTTTGGCCATACTTCGCCACACTGGTCAGTGCGGGGTTGGTGATGAACAAAGCCGCTGAAGCAGTTCAATAACTATCACTCAGGAATGATGTGCGCCGAGACTGGGAATAAAACTCAGGATTTTGGGTTAAGTAACACTGCTGTACTGCTATGGTGTTTAAGAAACTACAAATAATTAAGGAACACTCGTTTCAGCTTTCTGAAACGTTCGCTGGAAAAAAAAAATGCAGCCATGAATTGCACAGTATTCTAGTCATCATTACCATACATTTTTGAGTAAAACATCCTGGTTGAGTATGAACTGAACCCTTCAGCTTGTGTGCAAGTGCTACATGCATTGTTGCATTGCAAGGCAGGGGACATGGCGATGGTTTGAGAGCGGCCTTCAACCAACAGTGAATAGCTCATGGCTGCTCGATGGACTGTTGCTTTACAATACCGCGTGCAATGGAGGTGATGGGGGGGGGTGGCTTTATCTAGCAGTGGACTGATCACAGCCGACGATGATATAGCCGCCCCCCCTACGATGACTCCTCCCTGGCAGAAGTTTTAACGTAAAATGTTTGCCAAGTGTGGCAGGCATCGCGGTGTTTTGAACGGGCAACATCATACTTTTCCTTCTTGTCCTGTTTGTGGGCTTCGCGAGCCAACTGCGCTGCCTTGCGGCTGTAGGGGTGCACCGCCTTGGCCACAGGCTTCGCCTTCTGAGCTTTGGGCTGCAGGCACACACCACGAGCGGAACACGAGCAACGACTCTCTACAAAATGCACGCGCCCGCATTAGCTTCCGCATTGGTCCATTCTCGCAGGAAAATTGACAGTCCGCATTGTGTACGCGTATAGTAGTCCTTTTGGACGAGGGCCTCCCCACGGTGGTGTGTGCTTCGCAGGGGCTTATCTGACCGTACTTCACCACGCTGGTTAGTGCGGGTTAGGTGAAGGCAGGGTGTAGGGAAGGGCAGTGCAATGGATTTTTTTTCTGAGCTGCCCTCTGCTGAAAACCTGCATGGGGGCATTTTATTTACTGCCACGTATCTCTTACAGATTAACGACTCTACTCGGGTCTGAAAGCATCGATTATTCTTAATCTTAGATATTGTGACTGGTTGAAATTGAAATCCTGGAGGCCCCAGATCAGATCCTTCATGTACCACAGGATAATTTGGGTCAGTGGGAGGGCTGGTATTTGTGGCTGGTTGGCCAAGTTGGTCAGGGCGAACACACTAACACACGAGTGCTTTGACACACTCATAGTTACTCACAAAGTGATGCGAACAGTGACCCCAGAGTGCTGTAACACTAAAACAATTGCACCGATATAGTACATCAGGACCAGTGAGACACTACCGTGATGCGATCACGACAGGCAGCCAACACGGCACGCAGCTGGAAGCTACACGTGCCACTTCTAATTCAGAGAGCCGAGTTCAATTCCCGTTCACGGCCAACATCAGTGGCGAATATCTGAACCGGTCATGGGTCTCCCCTAGGTCGAATCGGCCTTAAATAAATGCCCGGTACGCTGTGTAAAGCATCAGCACTGGGCATACAAAGGCTTCCCGGGCGTGGTGCTGGCCACCCACCCCCTCGTGTGCCGTCCCGGTCTTTAGGTGCTCGCTAACAGCACTTTCCCCTAGTCTGTTAAACGCTGTGAGCGCGTGAATCGGTTACAATTTACAACCGACGAAACTCCTCGTTTCATGATCATCATGCTGCACATTAAAGTGCACTGTCTGGCTAACGACAACATCGTTGACAGCGGCCACAACTCTTCCCCGTCTCCGACTCTCCCCGTCGCTCGACCCGCCTGGCCCGCGCCGAGGCGAGGGAGAGAGTCGAGGAGGCGTCTGCGGAGGGGTATCTGAGACACGTGGAGCTCCAAGAGCGGAGCACGCAGGGCACACTTGGGGGTGAGACAGAGCGGAGAAGATGACGCGCTCGTTGTAACCACCAGCGAGACGTGATAGTACTCAAATCGTAAATGTTAGTGGGTTTACTCTCCAACACACCCCGGTGTGCTGAAGTGGTAACTAATCGGCGGCACGTTTTGTTTACGTGACAAAGCGTAACAATTGGCTGTGTGGTGGGTTACCGATCTAATCCCCCTACATTTTTTATTTTACGAAATGTTTGCGAAAGCCGAAGTGTTAAAATAACATTATTGGTTCTTTCGGTAAAGTCACGTAGACAGAAAACAAAATCTAAATTTAAAGCAAAAAACCCACGACGTTTCGATCGCAACACAAGCGGTCTTCTTCAGGTGAAGAAGATCGCTTGTGTTTACCGAAAGAACCAAGAACATTAATTCCTGCAGTCACGAGAGTTTTAAGTCTAAAAATGTGAAAACACAAGACGTGGGAAGAAAAGAGTGAGCGGAAAGGGACGAGCAGAGGAGGGCACGGGGAGGCGATCAGGATTCACGTGGAGGAGAACACGCAGAGTGGATGCGTGGAGGAGGCATGAGAGTTGGAGGAGTCTGCAAGTGGCGAACGCGTCCTCGTGGAGAAGAGAGAGCGCGCTAAGAGGAGAGAGCGTGGAGGGGGGGAGGGGACACGTGAAGGGTGGAGTGGCGATGGGCCCAGCTGGAGGAGAGAGAGACGGCGCCCCGCACCATGGCGATGAGCAGCAGCAGCACGCGGCCACGTGGAGAGCGGCGCCGAGAAGCGAGACCCGGAAGTTGTTAACCCCCCTCGCCCCGCCCACCGCGACGCCCCCCCACACTTCCTGGTTTCACTTCCGGGTGTGCGTGCCGCTGGCAATAGATTTAGGACGACGGCAAAAGCTGACACAAACATTCAAAACAACACACACACAACACGTGTGTATGTGTTGTTACATAAATACATAACACACACAACACGTGTGTGTGTTGTTACATAAATACATGACACACACAACACATGTGTGTGTCATGTAATTAACGTATTGTCATGTATTTAACGTATTAAATACGTATTGTCATGTATTTAACGTATTAAATACATTGTCATGTATTTAACGTATTAAATACATGACACGCACAACACACACGTGTGTGTCGTGCGTGTGTCATGTATTTAACGTTACACTCTTGGCCCCCAAGATCACCCCCAGACATCATCACACCCTGCGACTTTTTCTTGTGTGGATACGTCAAAGACCGTGGTGTCTTTGTGCCACCATTAGCGACTAATCTGGATAACCTCAAAAACAGAATCACGGTAGCGGTGACTTCAGTGGAAGAGAAAACACTTTGAGAGGCGTTTGGGACGAATTCAACTATCGTCTCGATGTTGTCCGTACAGCAGGTGGAGGGCACATAGAGCATTTATTAATCAAAAAGAGACCTGATGGTTCAATGAGCCACTCTGTCTACAGGAAAGATACCCATACGGATTGTTACCTGAAACCGGATTCCCACCACCATCCATCCCAGAAGAATTCCCTCATCAAGACTCTGCACCATAGAGCCCAATGCATATCCGACCAGGAACACATAGCCAGTGAACTCAAGCACGTACACCAAGCTCTTAAGGCTAATGGTTATTCCGACTACACAATCTGTAAAGCTATCACTCCAACCATGAAGAAGGACCCTCTTGAGGAGCCTTTCAAAACCATCACTTTACCCTACATTGCGGGGATCACAAAAAAGATCTCCAAAATCTTGAATAAACACAAGATCCAGGTCCGATTCAACACATTACATAAAATCCATGATCTGGTTCCGTCTTTAAAATATGTGATTCCGGACATACAGTACCCTGGCGTCTACAAACTAAGTTGCCTCTGTGGTAGTAGTTACATTGGAGAAACCAAATGACATGTCTCGGACCGCATTCGTGAACACAAAGCAGACCTTAAACACGGTAGGACCAACACCTCGGCCGTGGCAGATCATTGTTATAATTCAGTAGGCTCACATGACATTGACTTCTCCAAGACGGAGGTTCTTTGCAAGCCATCTGGCTACCATTAGAGATTCGTTCATGAGGCTATCCACATATACAAACACAGAGACAATTTCAACCGAGAAGATGGATTCTGGCTTAGCAATCATTGTAAGGATTCGATAAACCATTTCGGGTCTTAATTGATTGTTCACGCTTATGGTGGCTTTCAGACCGCATCCATTATTTTCGTCTCCCCCCTCTTCTTTTCCGAACATAGATGGACTCGTCCGTCTGAACAAACTGTCAAATCCCTCTCCGTGGTGCTGACGTTTAAAAAACTCGCCACTTTTTTCAAATTTTCTTGCTGTGGTTTTCACACCTGATGATGATTGCTTGTGTTACAGTCGAAACGTCGTGAGAATTTTATTGTTTTATATTTTTATTATTGTATTATTTCCCTTCTCCGTGACTTTACCGAAAGAACCAAGAATATGAATCCCTGCAGTCACGAAAGCTTTAAATAAACATTTATAAAGTGTTTAGTAAAACTTGATAACTCATTAACCCGTTTGTATCTTTTTGTGTAATTGTAACTTGTTGCCATCGTGAAATATACTGCTTTGAAATTGTGCCCATAATTTTGAAACACCCGGTACATGTACTGTATTTATGATAGTACAATTCGCTCCCTTCACACGCCTGCCACTGCACACACAAAGCAATCGGTATTTGTTGTCCAAACATCCCATGGGCCACACGTCGTTCTGGGGGTGGTTGCGTAGAGGTGCATCTTCAACGTTCAGTGTCTCATCAGCAGCGTTAGGCTTGGCTAGAACCACAGCAATGCTGGTGGTGAACTGACAGACGTTATAGAGCAAGTGCCCTCTCCGCTTACACGTGATGTCTTGATCTTTAGGTGAACTGATTTTAATAGGTAATTTTTTTAGTGTTCGTCCCAATGGGTTTTTACATGAACAATTTAATTTAACTCATGTACACAAAACACGTTGATAAGAAACTGATCATTGGATCTCCGTTCAGAATGTACGCGCATTATGCATGTTTAACTTATTTCGCTTCATACGTAGCCAACCACGCTGATCGGAGGTGCGCGGAGAAGACGCTGTGATCGAAGCTGCATGAGCTAATTCCAAGTTGGAGATCACAATGCAGATGTAACCGCACCTCGACATGCCCAATTCATGCTGCCATTTGTTCTGCAGCCCGTTGTCAATCCAGTGCTGGACGAACGCCTCGTCCACTCCGTATCGGTCATCGGGATTGTTTAGCCATACTTCACCACACTGGTCAGTGCGGGGTTGGTGGGGGCTGTAGGGGTGGGGACCCAGGACAGGTTTGGCTATCACTCGACACTAATGTTAACCGTGGCTGGGAATCGAACTCAGGTTACCACGGTTCATAGTTAATCATTGCGCCGCCGCTCCACAGCGATGCTAAATATCACGCGAGATTCGATGTCAATTTAACTTCCCCGTGACTCCCACTGGGTGGCAGTGAAGCTCCATGCGACTGGAAACTCTCTGGGAGCGTCAACATTCGTGGTGTCAATCGGTCTCGGTCAATCCATTTGCTGGATGAATGACCCCCCCACGATCCTACGATTTCATCGCTCCGCCTCTGCCGAGGCTGCCGTTCCCCGAACGCGTTCACGATTGACCACGGACCATTGACCCCCTTCTCAGCAATGTGCCCTGCACAAACAAGCTGGGCTGCATTGCTGAAGGGCTCTCAAAGTGTGGTCCCAAGAACACCAGTGGCCCGATGTTTATACATTTTGTTTTGGACGTTAATATTTTTAGTCGTGATATTTAATTTATAAATGAAGATAGGTAAACTACTCCGATTAAACTACCGTAACCCTGATATCTTAATGCCCCTTCCTAAAAAAAACACCTGATAGCTGTGTTCACGAAAAAAATGGGGTTCCGGTAATATGAATCATTCAGTATGGCTGGTATTTAGAGAGAGTGAAGGGAATGCATTTTGTCACCAGGGATAGAGGGGTTTGGGTGGTCCGCGGAAATGTTTGGATCGGCTGAGTAGTCCGTGGCCGAAAAAATTTGAGAAACACCGCTGGGGAGTTTGTACATAAGAGGTTTTTGGGTTAGATCGAGTAAATATAAACGTGTCATTAAACTTGTCACCACACGGCACAGGCAATTAGTAAGGTTTGTTATGTTAACAAAACATGCCAATTCGTTACCAGTGCGACACATCGCCAGTAATTACAACTAGCTTCATCAGGCGACAGCCAGAGTGGTGGAGAAATCCTAGTTTCTTCAATTTTCTGTTTTGAAGAAGAGTATCCTCCCCATAGAGGTTACTCGGCTTAACACGTAGGTTTTCAACCAATACTACCCATAATAGCATGCACATACGTTTTATGTGTGTGCATGTTGAACTTCTTTTGCACTGTGCGTAGCGTGTTGGCGACTGCTTTACGAACAAGCCCACTTTTCTTTCTGTTTGAACATACACGCAGCGTCTTATATACAGCATATAAATGTTACCTCATAGCAAGATGCTGCAAAGAAGCAGTGGGTGCATTTATTCCATAGTAGAGATGCAGTCAGCCATAGGCAGAGGAAGAATTACGAGTAAGGTAGCGAGCCTGGACTTGAACATGGAATGGGAGTTGACAGCACGAAACACAAATGTAGATGCTGCTATTAATGACAGTGTGGTGTTTAATTTGTATTCGGGCAGCGTTGTGGTTAGTGCGAATTCTAAGGTAAACCACTACAAACCACTGTTCAAACCCCGGCCAGGGCTTTGACTCAGCTCATCAACCCTTTTTTGTTCGATTCAGTCCCACTCGGTAGGAAGTCAACATTGGTTGTTGGATGTAAAATTGACCCTTGCCTAAGGGACGTGGGCTTAACTTATGCTGCTCACTGACTTAGGGCTATAAACGTTGTTCCACTTTGGGGGGACACAGTAGCGAGATGTTAACTACCTCGCCTGATACACAGGAGGTCGTGGGTTCGATCCCAAGCGTGACGCCTGCTGTATATTTGGAGTTTGCGTGTCTCTCTCTCATCATCATCACGGTGGCTAGGAGATGTTAACTACCTCGCCTGATACACAGGAGGTCGTGGGTTCGATCCCAACCGTGACACCTGCTGTATATTTGGAGTTTGCGTGTCTCTCATCATCATCACGGTGGCGAGGTGTTAACTACCTCGCCTGGTACACAGGAGGTCGTGGTTTTCCCCGTGGTCTTGTGGAATTTTCTCCGGGTCCTTCGGAATTTTTCTCTACATTTAGAATCAAAATAAATTTACACATGATAGACCACTTCGTTGGGCTATTATTTGTGTTTCAGGTCACTTCTGAAAACGAGTTACATAACTCAGTGGGCTTTACCTGGTAAAAGAATCAAATAGAATATGTTAGTAATAGTAAACACTTTGTAGGGCCTTCCATTCTGATCCTCTTTTCCCCATGCATTCCTGTCCCTAGGCCATCTCCACGTCTACTCCGCAGTATTTCATATCCTGCCTCACCGCATCCCCGAATTAAATGAAATCTGCCCCCAAAAATTATTTCAGTAAGGAGACACTGATTTTTTTCTGTGGAAAACAATGTCTACAGTTACAGCCAACAATGTAAAAGTTATCATATCGAGGTAGGGTTAGCACAACTCATAACAGTGGTGAGTGCAGTGCTTAGAGCAGCAAGCAGTTTGTATGCTTGCCATGCCGGTAGATTTTCTCCAGACTGTAGATGCTGCATTTAAATACAATACTGCAGCTATGCCGTTCTTTGATTTCTGACAGCTGTATTGAGGTTGTGAGCAGGATAAATGATCCGGAAGGGCTGGAGG